CCCACCCACACCCCCAGGAGTGAAGCTGCCAAGCAGAGCTGCAGATAGATAACCACAGATTCACAAAGGTTCCCAGCAGAGGCAGAAGACCTCCCAGCTGAGCACAGCTTAAATTACCACCCCCCAGAAGTGCAAACTAAATAAATAATTGTTGCTTTTAGCCATTGCACTTTGTGACTTTTTATAATGCAGCATGGTATTACAACCAACAATGACAACACTGAGGCATATTTTTGTTCCATCACTGAGCCTTCAATGACCACATGGCTCCCAGAAGGGACAGGCTGTCCCAATAGCACAGTTGCCACCAGGTCCTTCACCACCTTCGTATCCGATCTGATTAAACGTGGCTTCTTCATCTGCTAATGGAATAGGGCTGGCATTTTCTGGTGGGCATTTTCTGGAGGCTTCTTTATCAATCATCAGTAAAGAAACAGGATATGGCCACCCCATACCAACATCCCACACCAAGTTCACAGCACACTGTACACCTGACTGCTTACCGGTTAACAAACTGGCTGCAGTGACTGTGTGCTGAGGTGCTTGAATGGGGCTCCGGCGAGCTCTGGGTCTCTGTGCTTCTTTCTGAAACTGACCAAACAGCATGGTGGAGGGCATGGGTGGAGGCCAAGAGCATGACTTTCTTGAATCAGCCTAGAGTGTGAATGGCATCATGGCTTACTAGCTGTGTGGCCTTGGCAAAATTACTTAACCTCTCTGAGTCTGCTTCCCCATGCAGAAATGGAAATGGCAGTTACAAAGGGTTGGGAGGATAGCTAAGGGGAAGATAAAGACTGATGGCAAAGAGCCCCTTGTTTTAAGGACAATAAACAATGACATTAATTTTTTTTTAAGTTTGGATTTAGTTGAAAAGTAGAGAACAATAAAAGATTTAAGATTATTCTAAAAGCCACTCTTTTAACACATCTAGAACAATGACAAGAAAACTAAAGTTTTTTGTCGTTGTTCACTTTAATTTGTTTTTAATCAACTCGGACAGTTGAAACTCAATTTTTGAAAAGTTTACATTTTATAAAATTGACTATGTTAAATTATATCCCCAAATGCGACTTCTCTGGGAACACAGTTTGGTCCTAAGTTCAGTCCCTTCTCACCATGGTTCTTCCTGGAAGAGGGATGCTGGCATAGGCTTTCTCTGCCCTTGCCTCAGGGATGTGAGACCGATCCAGGGCAGGAAACCATAGCATAGGGGATGGCAGCACATACCCACCTCTGCAAGGATGCAGAGACTCCAGGGCCTGTGCCACTGGGCTCTCGCTGGTTGCCTGGTGCAGCCTCTTCCTGAGCAGGTAGCTTCTGTTCTGTTGCACTGAGGAGCTTTCTTCCACAACTCTCCTCTCCACCTGAGGGTCAAGTGCATCACGCATCTGCATCCCAAGGTTGGGATGGCATGCAAACTGTCTGTCAGTGTGGAATCGTCTGCCTTACACAGTAAGAGCTTAATGATGCATTCTCTAGCACCCAGAGCATATTCTGTACCTGCCAACCCCATGCAACCTCCTCCCGCCCATACCTGTGTCCTCACACACACCTGTGCCTTTGCTCATGCATTCCTTCTAATGGCTAGGGCCTCCCCAGAAGCTCCTCTGTGCCTACAATACCTAGATCTGTGTCCTCTCTACTCATAATCCTCTCCACCCCTGCCCTCTGATCACCTGCCCTTCCCATGCCGCTCTTGTCTCTCTCTGTTATACCACATTACATTACGTTTGCTTCCTCGTCCATCTTTCAGCATCACCATGAGCTCTCCTAGCACAGTGCCCCAGTGAATGTTGAATAAGTGATTGATGTCTGCTCTGTCGGTTCCTGATGGAAATGTCGTGGGTCAACACAGTGTTTACCCAAGGATAATGACACACCAAAAGATAGTAAACTCTAATGTCTTGAATAAATACACTCTGCTTCTCCCATTAAGTCCTCTGGCTCAGTTAATAGGAGCTATATTATTAAATGTCAAGAGAGTAGGATCCAAGAAGGCCAGGATGGGAGAGGCATTCTCTGATGGTTGGCAGCATCCACCCAGCTGGCACCTCCTCTCCATCCACACGGGACCTCATTAATCCTGGTCTCAGTTGTCCCTAGACAGGTGCAGACACCTGGCTGTCTCCAAGCTCTCCTCCCTCTGGTTCCTCTCAAATGCAAAAATCCTACATTTTGTATCATGGCTACCTCCTCACTTGCCCTACCCTGTCCCAGCCCTACCTTGGGCTTGAGAGGGACCAACTCTGCGGTGTGTCTCCAGTTGAGATGCTCCTCCACCTCCTATCCTCCCCCCATCACTCCGTCTCCCAGAAACACTTCCTCAGTAAATAACTAGCATAGGAATCCCTGTCTCCACGTTAACTTGGAGGGGACCCGCCCTGAGCCAAAGCCCATGTTGAGCACTGAGGAGCACACGGGAGCAAGCAGCATTGTGTGACAAGTACAGGGGACCTTCCACGGGTACAAGATAGGTCTCCTCTAGGACCGTGTGAACAAGGTCAGGGAAGGTTTCTATACAAGGCCTGAATTATGGGTTATCAACATGGCTGTTTTCATGCAAACAGGCCTTGCAAGGCTCACTGTCTTAGCCATGTTAGACTTGGGGCTTGCACAGGCTTCGCCAGTGCTGCCCAGTGGAACTGTGATGACAAGAATGTTCTAGCTTTGCCCTGTCCAGTAAGGTTATCGCTGGCTATAGGTGGCAATAGAGTACTTGAAATGTGGCAGGTGGGATTGAAGAATTGAACTTTTTTATTTCATTTTAATGAGTCATAATTTAGCTAATGTGAACTTCAAGAGCCACACATGGCCAGCAGCTACCTGGCTGAAATGTGCACTTCTGCACTGACCTCGGAGATGGTGCCCAGAACCAAGCCGACCAGCCGTCTGATGTGGAGGCCGGCAGGGGCTGGGTAGACAGCCACTTCTTTCTCATGAACCCGACAATTTTCCAGAACCGACTGCAGGGGCCGCCGCCTATGAGGCTGGTCTTCACACATGGTCAGCAGAATGGAGTGCAGGGGCTCGCGCAGCTGTAGAGGCTGGGACAGACAGGGCCGGAAGGGAGTGTGAGCGGCCAGAGCTGCCACGGTCCCGTCCAGCACTGGGTCAGCGGGGGCCCTGAGACTGAGGGAAGCAGCTGTGCTTCCATTCCCCCCAGAACTGATGACTGCTGCTTCTGGAGGGCTTAAAGACAGACACAAGATTCATGACCAAGGTCACAAAAGGCAGGGCAGTGATCTCTGTGTCAGTTGTGTGTCATGTGCTGCTTTCTAATCCAGATGCCCTTTAGCCCAAACCTGTGCTGATGAGCGGTAGGTGCTAGATAAGGTGGCTCACCGCCTGAACCAGGCACACTGCATCAACCCAGACGTCAGCCTTGCATTCACATTCTCCCCAGCAGCCTGGTATTGACTCCAACTATTTAGGTGAGTCTCCTTGGGCCTCTGCCTAGAACATGAGCTCCAGGAACACATAGGCTGTGGCCTCCTCATATTGGAACCCCCAGCAGTCAGCACAAGCGCTCAATCTTTACTGGCTGAACTCTATGTTCTATGTACACCTCCAGCAAAAGCAAGAAAAGGCATCTTGCAAGCACTTCCCTCATCATAAATGACTAGCATTTATGTGGCGTACACCTCAAATCCAGATTCACAATCAGACTTTTTCTCATGCTCAACACATATAGAGTCACTTTCCAGGTAAATGTTGCATCGGCTTTGCATGCTATCTCGCATGCAGCAGGCTATGGAGTTCTGCACTCACAGCAAATTGGAGGCCTCTTATGTGCTTGGAACTCATACAGCTACTCAGATACAGCCCCTGTCTTCTAGGAGATCCTAGTCTGATAAGAAAGATGGTCACTTAAGGGAGTAAAGACTATATAGGACCATACAGGACTGTATAGGATTCATAAGACATGGCAATAACATAGAGGAAGGGGCCGTGCCCACCTTGGGCAGCAAGAAGGAGCTGGGGATGGAACTTGGACTGACTCTCATAGAGCACACTGGAGTTATCAGGAGGGAAGTGGGGAGTGAGCAGAGTGTGCAAAGGCCCAGAGGTGCCAATGAGCTGGCCTGTGTCTGAAAGGAAGGAGGCTGTGGGCAAGACAGAGACCTGGGGCAAAACAATAGGGCAGGGACCCTTGTTTGAAATTATTCAGAATTCCAAGAGAGTGATACAGGGCATTAAAGCAAGTTCTGAGGCCTGTGCCCTCACATGGGTCACACACCATGAAGCAAGAACCCATTTCTGGGCTCCAGGTGTGTTCCGCTGAAAAGCCAGGGAGTAATCCCATGGCTAGTGAGGCACTATGAAAGATTTCATGTGGGGAGGGTTGTGAGCAGGTCTCTGTTTTAGAAAGAGCACTCAGGAAGAATTGGGATGTTGGATAGGAAGGGGCAGGGGTGAGCAGGAGAGCCAGGTTGTGGCTGGGCAGTGTTCTGCTGTGTGTGCTCATGTGGCACCAGTTTCTAAGGAATTCCTACAGTGTCAGATGAAAATTTATACAAATGCACACACATATTCTGTAATCAAAAATTTATAAAATGCTATAATACACAAAGTTTTAAAATGTTGGCCAGGTTCAGTGGCTCACACCTGCGATCCTATTTGGGAAGCCAAAGCGAGAGCATTGCTTGAAGCCAGGAGTTCAAGATCAGCCTGAGCAACATAGCAAGCCTCCATTTCTACAAAACAAAATTGTTTTAATTAGCTAGCATGGTGACACATGCCTGTAGTCCCAGCTACTTAGGAGGCTGAGGCAGGAAGATTGCTTGAGCCCATGAGATTAAAGTTATAGTGGGCTATGATCACCATAACTGTTGTGTTGAGTAGGATTCTGAGATTGTTTCTACACTGGCAGGAAGGAGTTGTATAATTGGTTAGCATTGCCTCCCTAGGGCCAAGGGGGGAAGTATGTGTGATAGACACTCAATAAATGCAATTCCTATCCAAGGGAAAACCACTAAATAAACCCCAAGGCATAGCCTGCCAAGACTTGGAGTATCTTTTTTACAGACCTGATTTGGTGGAACACGAAACCCTGCTGCCCAGTAGAGGGTCATTCCTAAAGAATAAACGTGAATCTGTCCAAGAGAAAAAGCACATGAGTAGGTTGCAATCCTGTTATTCCATGCTCCTCCTGCAAGCAAAACACAAGTCAATGTCTACGTGTACAGTCATTGTTGTCTGGCTACCCTATCACATCTGCTTCTCCCTTAACTTTTGCTGCCTCCTACTCTAGAGGCTGGAAAGTCAAAAATCTGCTTTCTAGCAGAAAACATGACAGTTTTTGTGGAATATGTAAGAGGAATATGCTTGGCTTCTGAGAAAGCTTTTGCTTTACTAACAAAAAGTGGTCTCAAACTCCCCCTTGTTCCTGCCTTGAACAGTGATGTGATGGTATGTGGAATCACAGCAGCCACCTTGTAACCATGAGGCAACAAGCATCAGAACAAAAAAGCCAGCAGCTGAGAAGGGTAGAATGGAAATATGAGCCCTGGATCTTTGATGACATTATCCCACAGCTGACCAATCCCTGGACTTCTGTATAAGTAACTAATAACCATATCTGCAACTCTGGCCACTATATTTTAAGCTTTCTGTTTCTTGTAGCCAAAGGCAATTATATAGCCTGATTAAAAAGCATCCTATCTTATCAAGAAGCAACATGATGTAATGGGAAGAGCATTGTCTGACTTCTCGGAGCCTCAGTCTCCTCGCCTTAAAATGAGTATTCTTCCTCAATTCTCTTAAAGATCAAGTAAAACATACCCGGAAATGATAATTATTATTGTTGCTGCTGTTGTTACTGTTATTAGTGAACATAAAGCTCTTGCCATATATCTTGCCTTTTTCTAAGTCTTTTACTTTCAAAAACTAATCTAAACTTCACAAAAATCCTATGAAATAGGTATTGGTGACAATACCTATTTTACAACAATTCTATTTGTCACCATTTCACAGAGCCAATTAACACAAGGACAAGCCAGGGAACCTAGGCACCAGCACCCCCACCCTGAGTCCCATAAATGTCAATTTATTATTATAGTGGGGCTTCTATTACAACTGACAAGGCACATTCCTCTTAAGATATCTCTTCTCAGGAAATGGTTTTGGGGATTTTGGAAGGAAGACACGTTGAAGTAATGAAATGTAGCTTATAAAAATGGCTGATTCCTTGAGCAACCCACTAGGTTTAATACCAGTCGTTTGGATTTTTCACATCTTGAGGTCAAAATGTGGGTTCAGTGTCACCTGTGCCAGTTAATTAACTTTCATCTTTGTCTTAATTATACCCCTAAACCAGATCCCACTCTTTAGATGACTTAGACCAGACACCATGCAGGACAGCTCACAAGCTGCACCCCATTTCCAGAGCAAAGACCCTGAGAATAGATGTAGAAGCAGCACCCTGAGCACTGCCAGAGGTAGTGTCCACACCTGGAAACTCAGCTGGATCCCAAATGTGTCCTAGGGAAGACCGGGCCATAGTGACCACAGGCTTCACCCCAAATGCCCAATCCAGCCCATCAGTGGACATTGCCTACAAAGGAGTGGGAAAAAGGATTTTGAAGGCAATTACTGGCTTGGTAGGAAAGAGCACCTTAATTGCTGGTATCTGCCATGAACACGGGATGGAGTAATGGCAGCACCCATGACCTATAGTTAGAGACCTGCCTGCACCTTCCACCTGACCTGCAAATGGGACTAAAGTGTCAAGCAGTGGGGAAGATATCTCAGTGAACTAAGTAGAGCAGGATGTTGGCAGGAGGAGAGGGGTCAGGGTGCATCCTCCCAACCTCAGACCCAAGCCAGGGTTGAGGGAGGATTCTGAGCACAGCCTGTGTCCTAGGACCACTCTCCTAATAACCATCCCACCCACCACAGACCCAGGCCATGGTGGATGAGGAGGGGAGTCTATGGCATGTGAAAGAGAACAACGACAGGCAGTGCTGAGTGTTAGGATAATAATGTAAGAGATCACTGACCAGGGGACCATGCCTCCTGGCCTAAAACAGGGCTGGCAGCTGGTGGCTCTGGCCCCTTAAGGCCCACTTCACATGGCATGCTTTCCTGTTTCATAAGCCTAGAGAGCCAAGCACACATGAAAATAGCTGTTTGGTTCATTTAGAGCTCAGCCTCTCATACTAGCCCTCAACCAGCTCACACTCATCCTGGTCCAGACTCTCAGCAACATACCCAGTTCTTAGCTCAGCCTGTTACCCTTGGAACTTTTGGTACTCTCATGCCTCTGCCTGGAGGACAGTGTGCAGGAGGAAGGACCATATTTTTTCCAGCTCAACCATGCTCGGTTCTCAACTTTCCTAATGCTGTGGCCCTGTAATACAGTTCTTGGGGGGCACGATCCACCAACTGATAACCACTGTTCTAGGTAGAAGAGTGACTAGACAGACCTTTGTAAGGTACTCAGTGAGACCAACCTACTGTCAAAAGGGTGACACCTGTTCCTCACTGGTAAGTGCTGAGAGGATTGAAGAAGGACCCCAGGAGCACTCAAGGTCTGTATTAATTCAAATCCTTTAGAAAGCAGAGCCTGAGGCAAGGATTAAGTGCTGGCTTTTATTAAGGGGCTGCAAGTCCAGGTTAATGAAAGTGGGGAAAAAAGGCGAAAGGAGGCCAGGATGGATGAACCTGCAGGATCATCATGCTGGTCACCTCCTTGCAACAAGCCACAGAACATAGCAGGAAGTGCAGTGGCCTGGGCTTCTCAGCACTCAGGACTTCTCTGGAAATCCTTCAAGGCTTGCATATTTCAAGTCCTCCTTTCCCAAAGAGACAGGAGGGTAAGTTTATTCTTGGAGTTCCCTCCTGACTCTCCTTTACCACTGGTGAAGGTTCACCCTGCATTTCCAGATTGCACTGGCATGCCTCTTTAGCAGTCCCCCAGAAAGCCAAATCCCAGGGCTCAAGAAGTGGCATGTTAGCTGAGTCCAGGAAGGAAGCAACTTACTATAAGATGGAGCAAAGAGATCCAAATAGATCTGAGAGGCACTTAAGTCTGCATCCAACCCAAGGGCCCAGAGATCCACCCCTGAGATCCTGACAGTGTAGGAGAGGGTGTGTGGGCCTGGCTGTGGGGGTGGCTGCGGGCATAGGGGTCTGGTTGTTGAAGCTGGAAGCACTGCCACTCTCATGCTTTCACTGTCATGATCTGTGGAGACACGTGGATACAGAGGAGCTGAACCTGAAAGCCACTGAGCCCCATTCACTGCTTCTCAGCCTGAAGTAAAAGCAGCCACAGTTCTAGGAAGCCTCCTGGAAAGAATGGCATTTCCAAATCTGTGCTTTTCCCAGAAAAGACAGGAAGACAGAACGGAATGCCTTTCTTAAACACCCACAGTGCCCTCTCTGGTGCCATGGGCCTGCCTTGCATCATTTTGTCCTTTGAACTTCCTTTTAAAATTGAAAGCATTGTCTATACTGGAACTCCTAGCTATTCAGAAGTAAAACATGTCCATTGTAGGAAAACCAAAAACCTCCACTGATGCTGTCATCCAGAAATCATCTCTGCACACACTTTAGTGTGCATATTTTTAGAACTTCCTCTCTCTCTCTTTCCTTCTCTCTATGCAAACTCAGATCACATTGTGTGTGCATATACTGAATTTCTTTTCAAGTCATTAAATAAGCTCTTACCATCTCATTTTAATACTATCTTATCTAGGGTCCACACTCACTGATCATTTAGCTTGTTTCCAATTTGTTACTGAAGTCAACAGTACAACAATGAGCACTGTTGCAGCTACACCCCTCTTTACTTGTGCCTTACGATAAATTCCTACCTGGGGACTTGTTGGGTCATTCTTGAGGTTTTGCTCCATGCTGTCAAGAGAACCAATATGCCAGACCATCTACCCACAGCTTTTGAAAACTTCTTTTTTGAATATTGATAATAATCTTCATCAATTAAGTTGAATTTATTCCTCTCTATGGATGTAGAAATTAGGACTCAGAGGAGTGAACTTGCCCTTGTCTGAGGGCTGGTAAACTGTTGGTAAGAAAGCCTGGGAGTAAAATTCTTTAAGCCTACTTTACCTCGATGTTGAAAGAGAGGCTCTGTGAGGTTGAGCCAGAAGCTGGGGATGCCACCCTCTGCCCCATATAGGCCTTTCTCAGGGGACAGGACACAGAAGCCACAGAGATGTTGTGCACCTTACCTGAGATACATCAAATTGCTCTTCATCACTTTGTCCCTGTAGCAGTTCAGGGGCCTTGAAGGGAGCAGCCTCTATGTGTGATACTTGGCCTTGGAAAGAAAGGCTCCCAGCTGCAGAAAGCAGAGCTGACCAGGGGCAGATTACGTAGTCAGAGGAATCTGAAATCAAGCCAGTGATGGGGTGTAGATGTGGGGCTGCCATGCCGAGGGCCCGCCATGGGACTGTCCTGCATAGAGAATGATGCACAGCTCTCCCAGTAGAGGGCGCTGGAGAGACATTGCGGGAGGCAGCCTCGCTCCTTCAGTTTGGGGGACCAGACCGCCTGGCAGCGGCGCTCTGCACCAAATGCATGCCCAGGATGTGAGGTCCTTCCGCCCCTTCAAGGCCTGACATGGCTTTGTGATCACCTCTTGAGTCTAGGAGAGCTCCAGCCCTCCTGCCCACACCAGCTTCCAGAGGGGTGGTTCACATCCAGGGCCACCAGACCCCATTCCCTCTGTGTGCTTACCGCCCGACCATGATGCGTATCACCCGGGCGGTAACTGCAGACCACCTCTGGCCTGAAAAACTTCATGTCACTGGCTGCAAACACAGTTCCTCCAACATTCTGAACCCACCGGGGAGGGCACTTTCCTTCAAAGTGTGTTACTTGCCCTTGGCCCTAGGGGACCAGTTAAGAATTCTTCCTATTAACCTCACCTGTGAGGAGCACAGTGTGGGTCGGCCTTGTGATGGAGCACAGCTGGAGCAGCATCTGGTGGGCAGGGTGCAGGGCTGTCCTGGTGCCTTTCCCCTGCCTTTTGTCCCTGGCTATGCCTAGAGATGGCACAGGTATTGGCAGAAGCCCACAGAGCAGCAGCTGGTCACCCCTAACCTCTCCCAGGTTTCCCTGCCCAGAAAAGCTGCAATACAGAGCAGAAGCAAGGCCTTTCTTCAACTCTGCCACATGGCACGCGTCACAGAGACAGGCCTGCCATCCCAGCACAGCTCCGTGGGTGGGTGCCATTTGCATACTTGTTCTAATACCTGGGACTAATCATAGACCAAAATATGTTTGTTTGGGAAGCTTCACAGACAACTCCCCAGGAAGCAACTTCCCCAAATACACCCTCTTACCATTGTGGAGGTCTTCCAGGAGCTGCTCAGCAGCCAGGGACAAGAGGGACCATATTTCCTCCTCAGACAGAGCTTCGCCCCTGACCTGCAGGGCACTGGCTAGTGTCACAGAGGCCAGGTTCATGCCTGCAAAAAAAAAAAAAAGACCCCTGTGACAGAGCCCCTGTGATGTCCAGGAACACATCTGGATAGTTACCTGCAATTCCAGCCCAGCCAGGCATGGTCCAGCCACTTATCATGGTGCGCGGACACCATGTTTTCATCATTTGTGTGGACATCATGTTTTCATCATTTGTGTCCCCAGGGTCGGGCCTGGTTGGTTCTCAGTGAATGAGCAAATAAACTCCCAAATGAAAGGTTAAATGAATAAAGGAATGAATGAACAAATGAGCCGTAAGAACGGTGCCTGCGAGCCGGGTGTGAGCCACTATAGAGAGCTACCTTCCCGAGGCAACATATTGCCTGCTCTTCTCTGTCCGGGAAAGTGAGTTAACCATTTTTGTCTCCAACATATGCTTCACGTCTTTTATGTCTGGCTGCCACAAGCGGAGTCAGGTTTGATGCCAGCACCAGCCCTTTCTCCAGCACCTGCCTGGATAGTGGGCGAGACTCAGTAGAAGGAAGCCGGAGCCCTGTTGTTGTTTCTGAGAGGGGCCCACTCACAGAGAAGCTGGAGGTGGGGTGAGGAGGGCTGGTTTCCTCTTCCCTTTCTCCAGAGGAGCCTTTACACCAAAGCTGACATTTAAATGTCTAGCTCCCTGACAAAGCTGCCACCACTAATCTCCAGAACCCCAGGTGCTGGGTGGCACAGGAAGAGGCCAGGCAAGCTTTTCCTAATCCATTTACATCCTCACTGATCTTTCTCTAGAGCTCAAGTGAGGCAGATGTGGAGTGTTGGGGGCAGGGTGGGGAGCACGTAGAGACTCTCCATCCCCCATCAGCCTGCTAATCCTAGCTCCACTCACCAGCTGCTCCCGACCAGCCTCCTCCAGCCTCAGGAAGACAGGCAGGTTCCATGCTCTGCCATCTTCCTTGGGGAGCAGGACCTCCAGGAAGGAAGCCTGACCTGTGAGCTGTTTATCACAAGGAATCTGTGCTTTTCAGACAGGAAAGCAGTCCAAGTAACCAGATAAGAGTGATGGATTGGAAGCTGGGGCCCGGGCCCTCTCTTCTGCTTTCCTTTCTTTTTAATTTTCTTTCTTTTCTTTTCCTTTTCTCTTTTTTAATTTTTCCCTCTTTTTTTTTTTTTTCTTCTTGCAGTTTTTGGCCAGGGCTGAGTTTGAACCCACCACCTCCAGCATATGGGGTCAGCGCCCTACTCCTTGAGCCACAGGCACCGCCCTTTTTCCTCATTTTTAAAAAATTGTTTGAAACTTAGGAAACAGGGTTCCCACTCTGCCATGTTTTTCTAACTCTCTATAACCACAATGAAAGGGTACATTAAAGATAAGCAGGAGGAGGTACTAAGACTAGGACAGAAAATCTCTAAATCCCAAAATAAAACATTAAATGGATAAGTTTTTTTCAATTGACTTAACACTAGAACGAAGACTGCATTCAAAGTCTAGGCTGTGTGACCGGTTAGCACCATCATTTTAATCAGTAATTCAGTGGAGGGAGAAAAGCCTTTTCGACGAAGAGTGCTGGATCCATTATGGAAAAAACAGGATATTGGCCTAAATGTCACATCTTATATAAAAATCAGTTCAAATGGATCACAGATTTAATGTAGGACATAAAACTATAAATATTTAGGGGGGAAAGTAGGAGAAAAGATTTAGAACTCATCACAGACAAGAAATCCTCAATAATATAAATAGTTGATTTCTCATCAAAATCCACAGAGGCCTGAAGGCAGTTGGATGACACATTCCAGGGAGGGGAGAGGAATCAACCAAGAATTCCATCTACAATGAAGCAATTCTTCAAAAATGAAAGAGAAAATAAGACACATCTATACACATAAAACCTGTGAGAATTTGTTGTTAGCTGGCTTTCCCTCCCAGAAATACCAACAGAGTCCTTCAGACTGAAATGAAAAGATACTAGACAGTAATTCAAATCCATATGAAGAAGGGAGAAGACTAGTAAAGGTAATTACACAGGTAAACGTAAAAGTGTAAAATGTTTTTTGATTGGAACCCTTTTTTTCTCCCACTTGATTCAAAAGAAAAAGGGGCCTCTCACATTTAAAAGCCCCACAACTGATCAGGTTGACCAATCAAACCCTCCCCTTGCCTATTAAAGTGAAAAGTTACCTGAGGCTTGAAGTTTCCATTCTTGTTGGAAATGTCAAGATCACAGATTCTATACCAAATGCAACCCTGTCTCAGGTGTCAGGGACAGCAAACTACTCATTCACCTTTCCATTTAAAAACCTGTCACTCGTGCTCCAATGCACATGCGTACTTCCTCTGCAGAAAGAAATGTGTGTGTACACCTTTGTGCACCAGCTTCCTGTCTGACTGACCCCAGTGTTACCAGACAAAGAGGGCATGGCTGCCAGTCCCTGTCCAGTCAATGTGCAGAAATGGGGATATTACCTTTATTAGGAAGAGGCCAAGAATTCTGGAGAACAGTGACAGTAGCCTCTCCAAGACTGTTCTATTCTTCCATTTTCAAAACCACAGTTTTATACCTAAAAGTTATAAGCAAGAACCATACTAATTCTTATCTTAGACAACAGTAAACCATACTAACCCTTATCTTAAACAATAGCAATTAACACTTATCATCAACAACAGTACTCACCGTAACCCATAAGCCATAATAAACAATAATTGACATAACCCATGACCCAAAACAACATTTCATTCAAAAATTAATCTCCTAAATCAATTGCTCTAAACTACTCAAGATATACACTTTTTAAAAATTAAATCATATACAGGTAGATCATGTATACATTAACACATTTATGTGGTACAATGAGCTGATTTCTTATACAATTTGGAAGGCTTACATTGTACTGGTTAACATAGCCCTCACCTCATTGACTTAATTATTGTGTTAAGACATTTATACTCTATACTTAAAGATATACACTTTTAGGTTAAAGCTGATTGTATCAAACAGTAAGAATGGAAGACGTGAGCTGAAGGACACAGAGAACCTAAACTGACCAGACCAGCTGTGTGGTCTGGGCTCTAGCCTGGCTGCCTCCATCTTTTTCTCACTACCTGCAAGTGCTCTCGCCAGCACATGTATTAATTACAGTTGACTCTTATGATCTGCCCACAGTGGTAAGTTTGGTGCCTGGTGAGAGCACAGATGCCCAGCAACCATCCAGAGCTCTGAATTTCCCAGCAGCTGTAGACACACCCCTTCACACCAGCTGCCCTTTGGAGAGGCCCCAATAAGAAGAAGTCTATTAGGGGACACTCCAGGAACTCTACTTCAGCCCACTATTCCTCAAGAACCAACCTGGACTCACAGTTTACCTTGTTATCTCTGTGTAATATTATGAATATCATTTCTAACAACAATACAAGCAAACAATTCCATAGAACTTATTGCATGCCAGGCCAGGCACTATTTGGGGTGCTGTACATGTATTAAATCATTGAAGCCTCATGATAGCCTTTTAAAATAAGGCTATTATCTATGCCCATTTCACAGATGAGGAAACAGAGAGACAGAGGATATTAAGTGACTTGGCCAGTGTCACACAGCTTGGACTTTGCCTCATCCTTCTGGTGTCCAAGGCAGTGTACTTCCTCACCATATTATGCTGGCTGTGGGAATGATGTGAAGCACTTTATGGAGCCTGTAATCTCAGGCTGTGAAACAGTTATCAGCCTTTCGCTAGCGCGCCATGATGCCTCTGGGCTTTTCTCCAAGTTTTTCTAGGCAGTCTGGTGGGCAATGTACTGCTGTATCATGGGCTTAAAAGTGGGTCATTAACTATGTGAAGGATGCAGGGATCCCACCACACAGATAAAGCCAGTCTATCAGACAGTGAGGATGCTCTGGGAAAGCGTCCAGCCAACGGGCAGTCCTTTGGGCGACCCTCCACTGCCCCTACCCTTATCTCTCCTGTACCCTCTCTGATCTCACCTCCCTGGACTGACCCCATGTGTTGACCCACTCATCTGAAGGATTCTGTAGTCTTCTCATAGCTTCAAAATCTCTCTTGCCACATGAGACCCCATTTGCCCCACCAGGAGCTTCCTTGGTCCCTCTTCCAGGGAATCCCAGGCTGTGGTGCCTGCCCCCACCTGTCTGGACTTGCTTTTTTTTTTTTGGACTTTGGTCTTCAGCAGCCTCTCTGGTTGGCCTTATCTGAGCTAGAATTTCCTCCCCTGCATTGGTCTTTTGTGCTCCTACTTGGGCCTCCCTCTCCCTTGGGCCATGGCAACAGCAACCCTGAGCTTCATCTGTGAGGCTATCCCAACACCCTTGCTTCAGCCATTCCTGTATTTAACAAAGACTCATCAAGAACCTAGTAATTTTAAAGCTCTGTGCTTAAAGGAGAATGGTGGGTAATACAGGGGGGCCACAAAATTTGTGCGCAATTTAAAATAGTACACATTTTAAATTGCACACAAACTTTATGGCCACCCTCTATGACACCGCATCTTGCAAGGGCTGAGGCCGGGCAGAGGGAAATAGACAATGAACAGGTAAGCAAATAAAGTAATTCCATAGAGTGGTAGACAACAAAGAAAAAGTCAGACAAGGTGATGCACTTAGGCACGCCTTTCATGCAGAGGACACATCAGCTGGGCAGTCAGGGAAGGCATCCCGGAGAGATGACACCAAAAGCTGAGATTTGGAGTTTAGAAAAGTGCTGGTTGTGGGATAGACTCTTCAGGGAGAGGGAAGAGCAGGCGCAAAATCCCAGAGTTTGGCAGGTTCCAAGAACAGAGAGCCACTCAGTGAAACTGAACATGATGAGGGAGATGGGGGTGGGGAGGGTGAGGGGTGGTGGCGGACAGCTGCACAGTGGCCATCTGCTGAGCCCTGTGGGCCAAGGAAAGGAATTTACATGTTTGTCTAGGAATATTAGGGACCTTCACCTAGCTGAGACTTGCAGAGCACAGGCAGCCCACATTGTGCAGAGCCAGGCAGAAGCCTTTCCCACACAGTCCTCCGTCTGAGTATTGCCTAGAGGGAAGTAATAGGGC